ACCCAACGGGCATTCCTGCAGTTTTGCATAAGTAATAAAAAATAATGCGAAATAATACAAGTCAAAAAAGCATATTATTTAAATAAAAAAGAGATATTAGTTTTCTTGTTATATGATGCTATATTTTCAAAAAAGACTAACGATCCCTAATCATGATATTTGAAACTTGTAGAAATTTTTACCCAATTCGAATTATACTTCTTTTAACATAATGTACTTGATGTGATGCTTAACCAGGATGATTTTAAAATAATATAAATATGAAAATTAATTTGTTTTTTCTTCTTGGCATTTTTACAGTTAAACAATCTATATGCTTAGTATACCTACATACATAATATTTGGAAGGACAGGATACTTTTATTACATAGAAGAGACTTGTCATTAACATCGCAACTTCGTTTTTCCTTTTTGGAACAGAACCCTAATAAAAAGTTATTATTCTATTTTTCTTTATGCATATGCATGCATCCGTATGCATGTTTTAATAACTAATAAAAAGTTTATAAACAAAACTAAATATAGGCACCGGCAGTGAAAAAAAGTCCGTCAGCATTATGGACCGTGTGGGATGAGTTGGTCAACAAAATACTAAGAATAAGGAAAAATAACTATCAACAATTAATTTTCCTTAACGAGAATGATAACGCATCTTATAAGTTACTTACTTGTATTTTTAAATGTACGAGTACAGTATTAAATTACAATTTTAATTTTTAATAATTAAGAAAAAACTTACATTAGAAAATATTTAAAATTCGAATCACTCGACACTACACTACACAATCTATATTTTAAAAAATATAGTTACTTAATTTAGCGTCTATAAGTCGGCTATGTAAAAAGGCGGTAAAACTATTTGAAATTTAAGTTTTTCGCGGGAGCACAGGTAGTACGTCCGCGATGTGAGCGCGGCGCGGTATGATAACAGTTCGCGTAGACCGCCGCCAGCAATTATATCAAAGGCTCGTTTATGAAGCGGTCTTGCAACCAGGTATATAAGTACATAGCCACTTAACAGGCTCCTCGCTTATGGCGAATTATTAAAAAAATATGCTATCTCACCTGAAACAGCATTTTACTATACAGGTAAGTGCCCACTACACCAATGTATTGTAATAAAAAAAGCTGATGCAACACCGCGTAATCTGCCGTAAGAACATTTGCTATTACTATTCGTATAGTATATTTTGGCACACAATACACAGTATATTTTATTTTATTTTATTTTTAATGGTACAAAAGAATTTAGAAACTTCAAATAATAATAATAAGCCTGAAGAAGGCGAACGGCGTCACCTATTCCCAAACTTAACAAAACTTGCCAGATGCCAGACATCTTATAACCACAGATACTTAAAATACTTTTTATAAATAGAGTTTAGGGTGTCCCAGAAAAATTAAAGTTTTATTTTTTCAATGCATACCCTCTAATTTTGTTTGAATGATGTCAAAACACTTATAAATAAAATTTCGCATAAATTGAATCACTGTAACCCGTGCCGACTTGCATCGAAACTTGTCAGAACTTACATAGTGCGGCGCGCACGAACTAAGTGTTAATGTGCTTGTTTTTATTAGTGAACGCATTGTTTTCGTCTGTCTGTTGAGTTACGCAGTTCTAAAAAAGAAATATTTTTGGTTGGGGATTTAAACATCAAATTATAGGTTCTAAACTTCCTTCTAATGGACAAGTGCTGGCGGTTTTATTTTATAATATTCGCAAAGTCAATTTAAGTGTCAATGATAGTGCAAATCTTAGAGATATTATAGATCAACATATAAAACAAACAATAAGAAGAAATATGTATATTCAAATGAAGATTGTTTAATTCTAAAACATGCGTAACTACATAAAATGTAGATACAGAATGAATTTGTCCGACAAATTTATCCTAGATAACATCCTAAGTATGTACTTCAATGCTACAAAAAATATTGAATTTCTAATTTAAAAATAATAAATGATGTCGTAATAATATTAAAATAACAATATGTGTAAATATATATAAAACAAAACTAATAAGAAATAGTAAACATTGTCCAATTTTAATTTTCGATATTTTATAATAACATTTATTGATTCACACATTTGTCACGCAAAAACTACAGTATAGAATTATATATGTTTTCACCGATGTATTACTAGAGGTCTGATTTCAAATTTAGGCTCAATTTTACTCCAAGAAAATATATTATTTAGTTTGATACAAAGTGGGGTCGCCTTAAGTATAAAGGCATGATTTTTGGTTCAATATATACGATACATACTTTACAAATTATCCTGTATTTTGAATACTAAACTAAATTCTCTTTAACGTCATGTAATTTCGTAACAATGACGCTGAAATTTGTACTATCACAATTTAGCAGTAGCAATATCAAGTGACGATGTCATTGATAACATATCCACTTAGAATACTATTATCATGTTTCAACCATGGCAGCATGACAAGTCACTATTGTAGTATAATTAAAACATTCTTTCCGTAAAAGTTTGATATAATTAATTGTTGGTTGCAAAACTTGTGTAATATTTCTAACTTTTTATATTTATTACTAACTGTGACTACGCGATTCACCCGCGTGTTTAATGATTGTATGTTATTCTGATGTAAAAGCTATATTGCTGCAAAGTTTCATCAAAAATTGTTCTGTAGTTTTTCGAGAAAGAGTAATAAACATCCATCCATACTCGCAAACTTTCGAGTTTATAATATTAATAGAATTTATTTATTTGTACATATTTACAGTAATAAATACAGTTCAAATGTTATAAACAACAATCCCTGCACTAAGCTCAAGGCTTGTGTCGCAGGAATCAGAAATCTTTTAATACATAAATTTTAACTTCTTATACTTAAAATTCTAGTGTCACAAAGTAAGTTACCATACTCCTCCGAAACGGCTTGACCGATTATTATGAAATTTTATATGCATATTCAGTAGGTCTGAGAATCGGCTACTATCTATTTTTCCCTACCCCTAAGTGAGTAGGAGATACTTAGGAGTATTAAAAATAGATAGTAGCCCACAACCAAAGGGTTGTCCACCCCTAACATTTTTTATATTTTGTATTTATTTTTTTTTATAATGTATCATTAAAAATATATATACAACCCTAAATTTTCAGCCTTCTACCATCAACCCTTATTTTTTAATAGCTATTTAATTTATATGACATAACAACGTTTGCGGGGTCAGCTAGTAATACATACTGGTACATATACCTAATCTGTAGCACACAGTACTTTAGTAGAACAAGCTATGACATATGTCTGTAATCCGTACTTACATTAGATATAGTTAATGTTTTTTGCAGGGCACCCAGATAAAAGGATAAAAAGTTAGCGATTACACTAATAAAAGCTTACGTAATAACAAATTAGTTTTACCTAAATGCCGTTTGACGAAATGTATTATTTATTTTTTTAATGTAACAAAACTTTTTACCATGGTTAAATTTCGAGTAAAATCAATAAAAATAATCTACAATGTCGGCGCACACAAGCAAAATTATAAGTGCGTGTCTGGCCTTTTAAGAAGGAATAAGCTCATTCCTTGAAGGGTTCTATATCGTATCAGTTCGTAAATACCGTTGCTGGAAGAAATACACACAAGGTGGAAGACCGCCATTCATTCAGATGATCATGATCATCTGGATGCCATTCATTCAGATGATCATGATCATCTGAATGAATGGCGGTCTTTCACGGTCTTTTGGTATTTAGTTTCTGGCGGGTGGGCAGTGCGAAGGTGAAATTCAGCAGCTGGTATTAGATCGAATAGAGATGCAATGTCTCAAGTCAATGGGTCGAATTTATCAGAAAGACGTGTATAAGTAATATATAAATACTTTTGATAGTGTTTTTTTTACTCTACCACTCGTTCCGAATGGCGGCGCAATGGTTTGCACATGCAGTGGCACAGATTATCCTTCATATATACACACAATACAATATCACATATTGCGTGAAATGAAACCAATTTAATGAAATTTTCAGAAATCGAACGCAAGATAATGTGACGTCACACACCGCGAGCGCATGCAATGCATATTAATTTGTTACATAATTAATGCAACTCAATTATGACAGCTTTGTAACAACTGTCCATTGTTCTGGCGGAAATTAGTTCGTAACGACAACATTCTCGTGTCAATAAAATACTACACCGTATGTGGCTGTTTACGTATTCGTTCCTAGTAAGTTATTTGAACAAATTTCCGTGAAATAATCGGCTTGTTTCAATGTTTTCATGACTGAACTGTTTAAGCCTAATTTACATTATGAAACTCTTAATATACGTGTATATTACTGAGTTATTTGTCTTGTTGGTTAGAAGTCTCAGCAGTAACTGCATGTTTGGGAGAGAATTACCTTAGGGTACCTCATGGGAAAAAGTGGGCCTATTGCTTACAACATACAATCAGGTTATTCCCTACATGGTCCGCTTGAGAACTGTCGCGGTTAGTACCGTGGTAAATACGACACGTTGGCCTAACTGACCAAAATTAATTTTCCAAATTTTTTGCAATTATATATCTAGTGTCTTTAAAATTGTATAGTAGTTTAGATAAATATAGGCTATGTTATGTATATTGTTTAACACTAACAAAGGAGAGTTACAACTTCAGTTACTAAACCATTAATCAATTGAAAACATTTACTTTTATGTGCGGTGAATTCACTGTAATATTCTATTGATATCTCTTTTGTGACTTTCTACTTTTTTTGGTTTTATTTTTTGGGAAATTGGATATATTTTTATGGGATAGATTTTTTTTTTTTGGATAGATTTTCTCTCTCGGATGTCGAGAGAAGAAGTGGCAGACGAGATCTTTTTCGTTTGCCACTTCTTGACAACACTTATGGTAGAGACAGTGATGTCATTAATCGTATTTGGGTCAATTGATAATTGCTAAAGTTATCGCACTTATCATATATTTTAAAGTACTCCATTTACAAGGGCTATAAAATCTATTCATGCAAGTTACTCACCCGAAAGTTAATCAGCCATTGCAGAATTTTAAGAATCGCCAAGTCCAATGATGCTTCATTCGTAGTTGCATTTTTATTCTACAAAGAAAATACGTCAATTAGTCATAATAAAATGTCTACACATCATGTATGTGGACACATATATGATGTGTTGTAAACCATTGAGAAACTTCAAATTCTGTACGGCCCTATAGATCTTTTTTTTAAATATATGTGTATATCAACATACTAATAAATACAAATGTTTCTATCCTGAGAGGAATCGAACCGTCGACCATCGGAAGTAAGGCGGTGCTGTGTGCTAAACCACTTGCTTGTATATAAGGACCGTTATTTTTATATATCATACAACAAATTGAACAATTATTTTCCTCCTACTCTTGGAAAGTCGTTTTAAAATTATCGCTTTTTGTGGTGGTATAGTATGCAAAAACTGTAAACTTTATAATACTATATATACCGTTTACCCATCATATGGGTCGTATGCTTATTTGCCAGGATCGTATAAAAAACATGTTACGTGTACATTAAATACCTACAAAATGTAGGTAAGTATAACGGTGTGCTACCAATGTTTTAAACTAGAGTAGGTACTCAATCAATAGCCATCCACCCTTCAATTGGTCCAATCGTAGAAGGAAGTAGTTCGCAAATATGTGCGCTCTTATCCTATTATCCTATAGGATAGAGAGTTCAGTGCCCAATTGAACAATTGTCTGATCGTTAGACATTTTCTAATCGACACCACTTGATATATACCTATGGCAATTTAGGCGTTGCATTGTATTGTCAGGAAATCGGGTTACATGAATCTAATAGGCACTCGTATATATTATTAAATTTAAATTGCCAAGTAATAATATATTTTTAAAATGTCCATTACGTCAGAATGAAACGCTCACAGCTTGTTGACTAGTATGGATATACTAAACAAGACGTTAAGAGAAATACAAATCTTTCTTTTACATTGATAACTTGTTAAAAATATAGATTTATTATTCTAAAATATATTCTATCTAAATTAGTAGTTTATTGCATAAAGAATCACATTTAATCTGTTGCACAATGTTAAACAATTACAGTGTGATTATTACAATCTTACTAACTAGCTATTATGGTTTAGAGGTGTTGAATTTAAACGCAAGAAATACCTTTAATCCATTGTGATTATTAAACATTCCCCATGTGGTTCTTACAATTCCACTATCTACTGTGTGTGGATTTGGACACATAAAGTATATGTTTAAAAGTTTTACAAACCTCCCCTCAGTAAATGCATTTTAAATTAAGTATCTGTTTCAAATTTCTTCAATTTTCATAATAGTCTTAACAAAGCCTTGACTAGTGGTGAAAGAAAAAGATTAACCATGATCAGAGTGTAGAGTAAATGAAATATTATGGGAATAACAGCTATAATTCTTTTCTAAATTTAAACTTTAAAGATTACTTACACAAGGAGTATATGACAAAATTTGACACATAGACTTGATGTCAGTTGTAATGTAAAAACTAGACTGAATAATTTCTATAATTAATTATAAATAATACAAAAGGTTAATGACCTGTAAAACTTTAACCTTGTGTTGACTGGCTTATGCATTATTCTTGTCAATGTTTAAATAATTACGGTTACTGTTATAAAAATGTAACATTTTATTTTAAATAATGGAAATACAACACTTAACATAAAGAAATTAGATTCAGAGACGCAATTAACTAAACAATGAAGTGGTGATTTGCAATAATACAATTGTATGTTTCAAATTTAACCTAGTATTACCATATTGGTGGGTCAGTGTAGGGTTTTGTTTAAAACTTTATTTCACTGTCACAGTATTGTATTTCTGAAATATGTCACATCTTTACTGTAGGGAATGTAGACAAGTGTAACTTAATAGATGTTGCAATCTCTGAACATTTTTGTATATCTATTTTTGCATTAATTTCTGGAGTTTCAGGATTGTCATTATATGTATATTGTGATCACTATTACTGTTCATATATCTACAACACATGTATTTACTATTCTTTATCTGTTGCTTATTCATCTCAAACATACAGTCCACTCATCAATCAGTCATATTTTTATAATTAGTGCCTCAATTATGATACCATACTACTCATCACCTGTAAGTATATCCTCTGCAGGGTTATGAGTGTCACAGAAAAACTAAGATTTGAGAAATCAGGCTTAAATGTTTTTGCTGTTTCAATGACACTTTACACACACTGAGAATTTATTATCAATTAAATAGATTAAGTATTTGAGAGACACTAATAAAAAATACTATTATGTTGTTTTTTATATCTTGTAAAATTTATCGACAACTGTTATCTAATGAAATTATATTAAGTAATTGTTATATATAGTCATAATTAAATTTAGAACATACTTAGCTTTGGATTCCACATTCTTAATGCTTCAATTACACTCACTGTATGTAACATTGGAATTATTACAAAAAAGTCTTAAAGCTGAATATTTAAACTACATTTTTATCTCTTTTATATTTTGGAAATACTTAATATTGAATAGGTACATTAGTACACAAATTAAAACAATGAATGTACACAAATTGACAATAACAACGAATTATAACAATGTATGAATGAAAGAGAGAAAAAAATGGTATTTCATTAATTATAGATAGAGATGAAGAATCTGTCTATGAGAAATCAATTATCCATCTCATTCCATTGTCAGATGATTGACAGTATTTTTTTATTACTATATTATGTTACGGCACTGGATGTCAAGTCACCAAAAACAGATCTTGTTCTTAGGACCGCGACACGACCAAAAAATTTTTAACTCTTAATTGTAATCTTAATACTTAAGCTTCATCTATAAATAGAGATCTACTTCATAGTATTATAAACACATAAGCAAAGTTCAATGGGTTAAGGTTCAGTATCTTTAGTTCAGTACTTTCAATATTATCAGCAGTCAGTGCTAGTGACAGTCGCCTGTCAGTCGTCGTCAGTAACAAAATTGTATAAATAAATAATAAATAAAAATTAAATTAAAATAAGTAAATGATCATTTAAATAAAGTTTCTTAAAATTTTTTATTAATTAGGTATGTTTCATAAAAAAAATCTGTATTGAAATGATTATTCTATAGTATTATTTTCACATCGAAGTATACAATGTGATTAAAACATGCCTAAAATTATTGAGTTGACGGTCGAAATAGATATACAAAGAGTAAGTATTTCAAATAATGTATATAGGTATGTTTAACAAATTAATCCTCAATATTTGTCTTCATTCATCGTAATACATAAGCATTCTCTTTCATTATTATTATCAAACAAGATTTTCATGTAAGGAAATTTAAAAGATTTGAGTGAAATTCAATGCAAATCAATACAGTATTCCTTTTTTCCAGTTTCGTAGCTTCCTTTTTTTTTAAATGGAGCTAACAATGGTCCATAACCGAATAGTTTAAATTTTATATTAGATTTCCCTCTTACCTCAGAAAATGTGTTTTAGGTCAAAACTTGCTTTATATAATCCACTACAATTTTATTTTGTTTAGTTTCATTGTAGTGTTGCTTGAAATGGAGATAAGAGTAATATTTCTTTTATATCTGTTATATATTTGCTTTTTGTATATAAAATGTAGCTTATATTGTCATATATATTGATACATTATTTTCTCTACCTACCACCATATTATTTTCATTAAAATTTATTCAGAATTTTAGGCATGAAAAGATAAAAATGACAAATAGACAGTGAATCTTTCACATTTATAATATTAGTATGGATTATGAAATAATGTCTATCTGAAATTAAAACTATTAGCGTCATAACTAAGCTTTTTATTTTGGTATATTGAAACAGAGAAATCATGTGATTCAAAATAACTCACCTACTATATTAATATACTTAAAAATCAATAGCCTAGTAACTTATTTCAATATTAGACAAAATAAGCATGGATATAAAATTGAAAGTATTTATGATTATTGGACTTGAAAATTTGTTATTACTATCCACAGAAAAGGGAGTTATGTTTTAGTGAGTACCTACTAATAATGTTTTTAGGTGTCATGTCCAGGAGTATGGTTGTGCCAGGATGGCCGTGTGTCACTTACAGTGTTTGCACTCGGCACCAGTTACCAGACTTGTATGTTGCCACCCACATTTCCATTAACATTCAAAGATGTATTTTACTTTCGCAAGACATTCCAGGAGACCTGTGCCTTAAATAATATCTGCTGTTTGCTCAGTTAGTAATATTTATATTTTTTATACATATTATAAATTCTTACATGTATTTAAGATTCTCACTATTTTATGTTTGTCTGGATTATCAAAAATGATCTGATAGTCATAATTCTAATTTCACAATCTAAATAAATATTTACAGAGGATGAAACAATATATTGTGAACTTGTCCAATGGAGTGAAAATTGCCAATCCGGTGAATGTATAATCTTGGCTCAGTACCTAGGTGCTGTCAATGATGTACTCTTCCCACCAAACATGTGTTCCAGTGATGGAGTAGACCTATTAATGAGGAGATCGAAAGATTTCCCTGTAAGTATATTTATTAATCGAGACAGGAAGGAATGGAAAGCATTATGAAACATTTACTCACTTTATAGAAGTTTAACTTCTTGTTTTGTTTTTAGGGTTTGATTAGTCATTTACCTTAAACTAGGTGTCCTTATTGGACATGCTTATCTTTCGTTTAGTATATTTGAATCCAAAGTAGCCTACCTGCAAATTAATTTGATAGTATATCGATGTTTCCTTAAGTGAAGTGTCATTCAGATATATAAATTATATTGATACACAAAAAAGTAAAGTTTTTTATTTTGATCAGATTCAAACTCAAGACTTTTTATCGGATAACAACACATATGATAAACAAAAATAATAAAAATCTTTCATTTGTATGGAAATATTTTTTAATTTATTGAAAAAACTATATATGGCCCCTAATGTTACGGAAAAACGAACTACTTACATGAGACTTAAATGAATACATTTTCTGAATTTGCAGGGTATACTATCTCCGAAAATTGAAATAGCAACTAAAGTGCGCATTGATGAAGTTTGGAATCAACCATGCCATATGAAATCCTTAAAATTAAGTACTTGCCACTGTCGACCAAGTGATGTTGATGGATCTAGGCAAAAGCAAGTATGCCATAGTGCCCAATATCATAGGTAGGACTAAAAAATAAATAATTACTATAACTATATTATACTATTTGAATTTGAATTTTGAATTTATTATTTAATAATTTAGTTTTATTTATATATTGTATAATAGATTATTTGTTTTACAGGAATAAGTGCAACTCTTCTAAAAAAGTTCCATCTCTCACAAGGTCAAGGTCCAGATCACGTTCTGGTGGATCGAGGTCATGTTGCAGTTTAATACCAGAACCAGAAATGAATGTCACATGTGGTTGTCCAAAGTAAGTACTACAAAAACATATTGTGTTTACTTTGAATAACGATTTATTTGTGTCTTCAACACAATAGCATGACAATGAACTGAAAAAATCAATGTAAAAGCCGAAATTGAAGTCATGTATTCGCCACAGCAACACAAGGTAGTCGGGATTTTCGATTTTCAGCTTATTGTTTCGCCCTGATAAGAGCAATATTTTTATATCAGTTGTTAAACAATAAGTTGAACCATTGACTATAGAAATATATGTAATTTTTTTATAACAACCAATTTATGCATATACTAAATAGTAGTCATCATGTTTCAATGAGAAATAAATAATTATGTATTCAGTCTCATAATGTAGTGTGTAGGATATCTAACTATTGTCTAATGAATTGTGTACTTTACAACCTCTAGTCCCACCCCCAAATGTTCCTCTCCCCGCACTGCCCGCCCCGCGTCCCGTCCTCGCGGACGTAACCCCCGTCGCTACTGTCCACAATACAACGTGTACAGCGTGCGTACTGCCGCGGACTGTGATTGGATTAATGCTACCACCAGTACTGAGAACAGCGAATGTGATGACTATATGAAAAGGTGCCTTCCTGCAACTAATATAGAGCTTAACTAGTTTAGAATTATTCAAATTAGAGCTTTTTTTCCCTAATATGTTAGTCTCATCTGATTGAGTGCTAAATTAGAGTAATTTTGCGCAACACTAGTTTCCGTCGAGATGGCTGACCCTAAAAATAGAGCTTAATGTTAGTTTTCTTTTTCACGGTAATATTTGTTACCGTTATATTTGTAGCACTTTGTATCTATTGTGTATTTCTTATAGTTATGATAGATATTCAATCACATTAGAGTAGTATATAAATTTATTAATTTAAATTGTATCAGAAAGCTACATATATAAAAAGTAAATAAACAATAAAAAAGAAATATCACTGAAATGTCACTGGTAAAGGAGAGTTATTTCAAGAGTAGACTTTATAGATAACTCCAATTCTTGAGTATGTCTAACGACTCATTAATTAATGACTAACCGTTATATTCTATTCAGATCGGGCGCCGACGCAGTCATCAAACCAGCATTAACAGAAGAAGAGTATCTGCAGAAGACGACTGTGGAAAGTAGATACATAGACCCGGATAGGCGTAAAGATAATAAACTGAAAGAGAGGTGGAAGAAACATGTACCGTCTAAAATTACGCCGTGCGTCTGTGATATTTGCAAAAGGTATCATGAACTGTTTCATACCCAGTATTCAAGTAGATGATTCAGATTGATTGTATATCGACACAATAGTTGAGTTGGGTGCACCTTAGTGAATTACAACAGTCTAAATTTAAATAAATCCCTCAACAGCCAGAATCTCTATATAAAAATTACAACTGGAAATAAATTTTATGTAGCCAACGCTAAATGACGACAATATATTTGACTGTATGGATCGTGTTTAGCTTGTTTCCTATTTTTGATTAATTCTCACATTTCTTTTCTATGTACAATTCCCCAAAAAACTTTTACTTCAAATTATATCTTAGTATGGAATTTCTACAACAAGAAATTGTCTGTAACAAATAGTGATCTTCTTCTATTTACTGCTATTACAAATGGTCATTCTTTTTACGATCATTTAAATAGACAAATAAGCTGATTTAATAAATTTGAGTAAATATATCCATACAATTAATTGTCGATCTATGATAACCACATATAGAGTTACTTAGTTACTAGCTCTTTGATGGATTCAAACTCTAACTTGATAGTTTATTGTCCAAGGACATTAGATTAAGTTACACAAAATTTGTTAGCCCCGTACCCTTTACGAGCAAAATCAGTGATTCATCACATTAATGATATTATCACCTTATGCCTATATATTTATTGAAACAAAAAAAAAACTAATATTTTTAACATCTTAATTTTTTTTATGTTTTTACATCTTCAGTAATAAGATAGCGGTGAAGGTGTATGAAATAAGACTAATATATTTCCTTTATTTATAAACGCTTTGTGTACAGCGTTTTTTTATCTATCATGGAATAGAAAATCAGTCATTTACAATATAGCACAATTTGTATAAATAATTCAATTTGTATAAAATGTTTATATATACAAAAAAATATTTTAATGGCAAGATTATGTACTTAATTTATTTGTTGGTGTAGCATTGTTGTGTTCAATTTAAATTAATTCTATTTATAAATATAAATCAATGTTATTTTAATTTTCTATATTTATAGTAACTGTCTTTGAAAACGGAACAAAATAAAACCACAAAATAATATTTCAGTTTATTATTTCTTTTATTATCATGATACCATATTCGAGAACTAAGGTAACTTAACAATTACATTTTCTATAATTTAAGTGATATGGCGCCACTTTTATTATTATGCTTAACATTCAATGATTTGTTATAGTTTTATTACAATTTTCGCATAGCTTATAACAAGTTTATATAGGAAAATTTGAAACAAACAATCCCAACGAGCATTAGACACGGCAGTGTTATTTATATCCAAATAATATTTACAAAAAATGTCATTTATACCTTATATACTTAGGCCTTCTATAGTAAACATAACACTTACTTTTCTCTTCTATTATTCAAGAGGAAGAAGAAAGCAATAAAGAAAGAAATAGATTTCATAGACACCACATTTTAGAGGAAAAATGTGGGAAAGAATATTAATAATATTTATCTATTATCTTATTAATAAAATTGTGATTTCGGAGTTTAAATTGACTAAATATTAGACACCATTCGGCACATTTATAATAATCTACACTAAGTATAGGTATGTATATAAAAATACAGACATACATTATTATTATTAAACGTATACACATTCCATTCCTGGAAAACGTGTAAATATTTTATATTAATGAATTATAATATAAAAATTCGTCAATATAAAACAAAATTAAGAATACAATTGTATACTACTTGTACTTCTCTCTATAGAAAGGACTATTGTCCAAAGCAAATAAAAATATATACTGAGGCATATAATATACATACACGATCATATTGCAATTATACAATTTATATAGTATATAATTTTTATATACTTTGAACTACAATTCACACTTATAACATGCAACCTATAATCGTAGTAGGTATATATACATTTTTTTTTAAATATATACTTCTCATAATATGTCTATAAGGACGGAAGACGTTAGTCAGCCTTGTAAACTCACTGTTATATACAGTATCTATCTACTATATTCTTGTTTTTGTACATTAAATTCTAGTTATAATAATAATTTAATATAATATTATATATTTAGCTAAATACGTGTTCCACTCAGACTTGAGCAAATATAATCCAATTTTGCATAATATTTCATCGCAAAATTATAAACATTGTATGCCCTCTTAAATCATGCAATAATATAATTTATTTAATCATATACAAGCGTAAAAGATTAATATAAAAAAAGATTCAATTTACAAATCAACAATTTTGCGACTTATACAAGTTTCGTGAAAACTAATCATTTTTTAAAACTATGAATTTTGTCTTCTGATGAAACAATATTTGTCTAAAGTTTGCAGCGTTTCGATTTGATTCTGATATTTATTCGTGTTGCATACAACTGAAGAACAAACTGTACCAGAAATCATCGTTCTTTTTACACTTTTTTGTTTTATTACACTAATATACATTACAATAACATACTCAACTGCAAACTCAGTTCATTCACTATATTCAATATATCATGACAGAACGAATATGAAGGTTGTGATGCCACTAATAAATGCACTTAAGCACCAATGTGATTCGATAGTAGACCTGAACATTTTTAACCTATTTTTATGCAAATTAGCTAAGGGCTCACTTGATGACAAGTGTTAACTTATATACATGAACAGTTTGATGAATATCGCAAAATTAGAGACTCCCTTGGTCCCATTATTAAACTTTTCTACCTGCGGTCCTTATAATTTTACTATTTCTCACCCCACATACTGGAACAGCTGTGGCATAAACAAGTCAATTTAAGGCGTATTAGCATTAATTTTGTGTCCCTTGGTGGACTTTCGTTCTTTACTCTTAACGTACTTAGTGCAATCGAAGATGAAAGCAAACATGGCGACTAGAGCGAATACCGCATAGAAAACAGCCAAAGCGATGAGGAAACTATGTTCGGTCATCTCCCATATATTGTCGCTGCGCAGGTATTCGTAGTTGGATAGAACTTGCGTCCCGTTTGGCGGTGGACACGGCGACTGCACTATGATATCCTGGTATGGTCGCTGGAACAATATTTTTATACTTTAAACTTTTCCTTACTACGTATACAAATAAAATGTGATAATTTGTTGAACAAGAATATGATTTAGTACCTTGATTTCATCATCATCATTATTATCCACCGCAATGACTCGTGGTTTCTTTTTAGATTTTTGCGTTGGATATACATTATTAAGATATCCAGACAACTCGTGACTGTGTAACCATGTAGTGAAACCTTTTTGAAACGTCGACAGAGGTAAGTATCTTATTTGCCATAAAATTATTCGTGTTAAGAATGTTTAACTATATTTATACTCTCTCCTAGTGTCCATTGACTCCTAGTAAAATATTTGACATTTCCTTGTGATAGTCAAATTAATATAATGTGCCACTCCACTTCTTTCCTAAGACTTTGTTTTGAGATCGAAGAAGTATAACTAACAAATCTAACAAACAAAAAAAATATCTAGATACTTGTGTGACCTAATTTAGGCATGCCCCTTTACAACAAAAATAAAATCTTATCTATAGATAAAGTGAAAATTTACCTGTTTGTTAGTACATCTAATATCCTTGCTAATACTGTTCCTCAACGCTGTTTCGCTGAGTTCCTTCTGCAATACTTCCGGCATCGTCCACCTCGACGGTGACACGTACTCCAACCATCGTGCGTACTGCGGCAGGTCCGCCTGGTGCAGCAATACGCCGTTCACCAGGGTACTGAGCAGGAGACAGAAGCCCGCTATCGTTGCGGCCGTCTTCTCCATTGGCACAAGGAATATCGTCGCGCGGCATAACATTTGTACGCTTATTAGATAGAGCAGCATGTATCCTGCGAAAGAGTTTATCAAATCAAATAATTTTTAAGACACATTAAGTAAAGGTAGTACCTACCTATGAATCTAAAACGTTCTAATGGAACTAATGAAAAGAAAATATAACCAAACAGCACTAAAATTTGTAACAAAATAACTATAAAAAAAAAGTATATTTCTCTCAAAGTTCCAACATTTCTACTCTATATTACTGTATAAATGTCCAATATCTTTCTCCCGTAAAAGTGGAATTACACTCCTGTTGACGATTTGAAAAGTTCTGATTAAAATTTTATATTTACACGAGTACACAATTGAGTAGCTGCTTTATCATAAAATTTTCTAAAAATCTCTTCAGCATGTTAACGACATGTCTGTGTGTGACAAAAATGTATTTAGTGCGTGCCAATACGCTAGCGGTTGTTTACCTATATGTATATAGAATCCATCGAAAGATCCCGGAGTCTGCGCGTACAATCCGGTCATGGCGTAACTGGGAACTATAAACGCCAGCCATGTTAGAACGGCCGACCATAGCTCGAGGAATTGCTGAAATACATATTGTTATATTATTTTACATAATTACACTCGCAACAAAAATAATTCCAAATTCATCATATTAAATTTGTTGGCTATATTCCAATGGAGTCTCCATTAGAATATAGAGTGAGCCCTCTTACTACTAGTATGTAATCTTATCTGTGCTACTAGTAATGTAGATTGACCTGACACGGTACCGTGTCAAATCGACCACGCCACTGGCAATGACTTTAGAAGTGGTTCGGTAGTATACCATGTGTTTTAGTGGGTAAAAATTCCACACTCCCGTGACAAAAAATCCCATATGGGAGTATGGGATTTTTTGTCACGGGCCTAATAACCTGACCTTCCGTTACTGAGAGATTTTTCATGCGTAAAAAAAGTGTATCATTTCATATTCATCCATAAAAGAGTGTTATACTCACATCAAAAAGTATGAATATCGTCCTCGAGTATAGGCCTACTGCGATGTCCCTCTCTACGTGGTGCCGCATAGAGCTGGCCTCTCGCGCACTCAGCCACAATAGAATCGGCCACACCGTCAGACACATCACTGCGTAGTGGTAGCCTATTCTATCATTTTGCGTCAACTGCGGAAAATATAATATATACAATGTAATATAATATACATAATCTTTAATAAATATAATGCATGGGAAATGCTTAAGATGAATAATAATAAGTAACGAAATTTATAAAAGGGATTTCTTTAAAAACCATTGACTCCTCAAAAACTACTTTTACCAATTACGCTCGATATTAAATAAATAATAACAAAAAAGAATCAAAAACCTTTGAATCTGTGGCTGGTAAATCCCAGAATATAGTTCCAGTGACGAGGGACATGATAGCGGCAATCAACACGCGGGAGACCACATTGGATAATGTGGACATCTGCGTGAAGACTAAGCTTTTTCTGAAAATTAATATCATATATTATTTTAATCACTAGTGTGGACCTAACGTCTACGCTAATGAACATGTAATTTTATTTATTGAATACTTACAAATGCAACACATACAATAACAAGATACTTGGAATAAGAACAGAAACAATAATAACACAAACCACGATATAACATCTTAATAAATAAAGCAAATGAATATACAAATAAATTATGCTAATTTATTTGTATATTCATTTGCTTTATTCAATATCAAGATGTTTAGTAATAATAAGAAGCCTAGAGAATTCACACACCACCATTTAGTCCCAAGCTATGCAGAGCTTGTGTTATGGTACTAGAGAACTGATAGCGTTTACAATAAACGTTTTTTTGTAAATACATACATAAAAACACCTAGAACACTACAAACAATCATAATCATGTTCATCGAAAATAAGGCGGTGTGCCAGACCGCTAGACCACCACTTTGAATAACGTAGTCTGTATAGCTCTCAGATGAGCAGCATCAATAGATATTTATACTGCTTACAGCTTACTATGTATCGGTTTAAAGAGCGCCATACAATTATCATCAATAAAAGAAAGAAAGAAAATACGTTTATTTGATACATCTAATACATATGATAATTGTATGGCGCTCTTTAAACCGAAATCATGTGTTATGTGATAACATTGTTGTACATACAACAACATTAATTTTATATTTACAATTTGGATCATTATGTTAGTTCTCCGCCCAGCATATGCTATGACGAGGTGCCACGACGCTGGTATTTGGCGCTCTATAAACAACCACTGAAATTCATAGCGTCCCAATATTGGAAAATTTCGTTCCGAGGAATCGAGGATAAAGACGACAATGGTTACTAATAGGTCCGATTTCTAAATGACCTTATATACGTAAGCAAGAATTTATACTAATATTATAAAGCTGAAGAGTTTGTTTGTTTAAATGTGCTAATCTCAGGAACTATCGGTTCGAATTGAAAAATTACTTTTGTGTTGGATAGTCCATTTGTCGAGTTAGGCTTTAAGCTATATAACATTATGCTACGACCAATAGGAGCGGAGTTGCAATGATAAATATCGCAAAAGATGGGGAAATGAAGCGCAGACGAAGTAGCTCTAGTCAGCTAGTAAGATATAGTTACTCGAGTAATGCGAAGGCCTGTAGTAGTGCATGTGGCGAGGGCGCGGGCGCGGGCAGTGGCACGGCGGGTGGCGGCTGAGGCGGAGCGTGTGCGCCTGCAAACACGCCCGCCAACGCCTCGATGCGGCCCGACGACTCCAACATGGCCGCCGCCGACAGCTCGTCCAGCGTCACCAAGTCCACTGCGCATACCATCTTATCTTAATCTTAAGAATATTATAAACGCGAAACTTTGTGAGTATGGATGTTGTTACTCTTTCACGCAAAAACTACTGAACGGATTTTGATGAAACTTTACAGTAATATAGCTTATACATCAGAATAACTAGTATGTTATTCTGATGTATAAGCTATATTCCTGTAAAGTTTAGGCTTACCGCAGGCTAGTATAAAATATTACTATTGTTCTGTCATAGACAGATATAGACAGCGAGCCATGGCCCAGGGTGGGGCAGTAATCTAAAGTATTATGTAACCAGCAAACTATACCCGGGATCTTACCCCGATTATTTTTTTCATACAAAATGGTAACACCTTATATCTGTATGTAATTATTTGTGTCGACTGTAAGTAGTTTATTATTACTTTAGTTGTTATTTTTATATCTAAATAGTTACCGACCACTAGCATAATAATAAAATTTAATAAACATAAACATTTTATAATGGTTCTTCTAAAATAGTTCAGGATCTGACAATTTTAAACGTCAATGTTTGATTATGTTGGCATATATCAATATCTATAATAATAATAGATATTGTAAAAATATAAGAGTAGGTACATAATACAGTACTTACAGTAGTAATCAGATGGATTCTTAAAGGCAGGGCAAGGGTAATCGATTGAGGTGAAATATGGCAACATGTCTCTCCTATATCCACTAAACATAGTTCTACCGGCAGATATTAGTACCACCTGCAAAAAAATATTCATATATAACATTTTGATCCTTCGAGTCGGATAAAATAAATCTTTTAATTCAATTATTACCTTTGTTAACATAGCAAAAATTTCATAGGTCGGGGGATGTAATGACATTATGACCACCCGTCCAGTACTGGCCCAGTTTTTCAAATATTCGACTAAGAAGAACGTATCAAAAATGTCCATTTCCTTTGTTGGCTGATCTAGAATAAGTACCGCCATATCTAATAACAGCTGACAGGCAACGTTCAATCTACGTATTTCTGAACGAGTGAGACGTGCTACATTTGTATCTCGTACTTGCTCAAGTCCTAATTCTTCTATAAGAAGATTTATCTGAAATCATCACAAAGTTATTACAAATTTTAATAAATTACATACATATTATAATATTATTATATCAGTAGAGCTAAAGTATTGAACTATTTAATGTAATATTATTATATAAGTGACAGTGTCGTGGTCTAGCGGTTTAGTACTCTGACTTCGACTAAAAGGTCGTTCGAAACTTCTCGACGAATTTGAGAATATAAATTAAAGATTTGTTACGAGTTTGTTACTTTGTTACGAGAAACACCAACAATAAAACACATAAACAACATAGTTACGCTAGTAAGCGCTCTATTTCACAAGAATTCAACTATAGGGAGATCCTAACGAAATATGGTATGACTGATAACTGTAGAAACGACATATTTTCTATAATAATACGTATTTAATTCTTCACAATTATTTTCCCATTGTGGACGATAAAATAAATTGACTGTATGTGTGATATTAATGAAACAATGAATAGAAAATGGTAATACTTATAATTCAGGTACAAACATAACAGTGCAAAAGTGAAATAAATATATAAAAATGTGCAAAGTTTGTAACATCCATAGATGAGAAACAATGAGTCGCGGAGCTAAATCTACCAGATGCTCCCCCTCCGCCACCAGAGATGTTTCTCTCGTTATCGTTTTTATAGTTATATATTATTTTAGATTATATTAGACAGATACTTACTCTATCTCTATCAGACATTTTTACTTGATTGTGGTTACTCCTCGGCCTTCGTAACGCGGCATGAAATCGCAACGTGTGTTCGACTGTCATTGAGGGACACAATGAAGTATCTTTGCGGACGTACGCTGCTACCTTGCGTAAAGTTGACGAGGCTACAGGCTGCCCGTTAAGCACTATGTCGCCTGATAATTTCTACACGAAAACATTACAAGAGTATTATTAGAGTACAAATACATACATATAGAATAGAGAGCAAATTAAAGAAATAATTGAAGTCGTGTCGTATCAACATTTAAATAGCATGATAGAAGATCGTAGAAAGTGGGAATAGCCACTGTCTCTTGAATTATTGTGACAACAAGCGGATAATGCCGTAAATTGCGAATAATTAACCTATTGATATTACAAACAAAAAAGTTAGCTTGATGTAAATAATACAGCGAAAACTAGTTTATAAAGAATATACTAAAAATTAATTCTCTTAAACAAAGCTACGATATCAGCTACTAACACATGCAGATCGACGTGTGTAAGTATCACTAGATAGATCTACAGTCAGGTAATGAACGAGAGTGTTGTCGGAAAAATTGTTTCTACCTTTCTAACGCCAGCTAAAACGTCCAGCAGACCCGTGGCTTCGTGTTGAGATGTCGCAAGCACAGCCAGGATCTCCCCAGACTTTACTTCAAAACTAAGACCAGACACCAGGAGAGTCGATTTGTTTTCTGGTGACGTTATTTCTAAACTGTTTACCTGGAACATAAAAAAATACGGTAAAATAAAATTTATAAATGTCCACTCAATTGCAAATGAATACTTTTTTTTAACAAAACGCAAATACCCTAATTAAGTACATCAAACAGATTTACTTGTTTTAATTTAATGTGCAAATCAAAACAGTCTGGCAAAAATTTTATTCCAACAAATCTATAGAAAATTGACGCACGGTAAACTTTGATATGCAATTCATGGATGTATATGAAATAATTACATATTTTATAATTTACTTATAGAAATTTGACAATAGGTCACTTAAGTAGATACTCCTATTAGAAAGAAGTACTTATACTAGTATACTTACATAATAATTAGGGTATATATAAGCGGAATGTGCATATCCATCTATATAATCTCCGGGTCGTAGAGTCGAGTGCTTCCTTGACTGAGCGACTGACATATGACTGCCTGCTTTTGAGATGCGCCCGCCCAGATGCGATGCTGGCATTAAATAGCTATAGGACAATATAATTTATTCAATTTTTGTCATAAATGTTAAGTTAAGTGACAAAGTTAACCACTAATATGAAAATAGTATCAGGTTTTGCGTACTCCATAGAGTCTTTATTGACAGTTGTTTGTTGGTTATTTTTAGAGTAATTTAAATTTCAATGAAATCAAAAGATTCATGTCATATTATTTCACACTTAATTGACCCCTTCCTTAGAATGTAGCAGAAACGTTAAAGATTTTTAATATTGGTTGTTAATAGAGATAAACTTAGTAATGTGGACTTATGAGTTATGACACCATTACTAGCAATGTACCATGTCAGGTTAACCTCCACGCGGTTCCTCCTGGAAACCACCGTGATAAATTCCTGGTGAATTTGGCACGATGGGCTAACTGACCTGACTTCATGTTCCTCATCCTCCTGCGTAAACCGTTAGCGCAGGCGGCTGCACCATTCCATTATCATCGATAAAAAAATTGCGTTCAGTGAACAATAAAAAGATTTTCTATAATCATATTCCGTAACCTGTGATGGTCGCCGTCTGGCGCAAACTCCGCCACGCTGTTCCGCCTGTTGGTGTACTGTGAGCGCTGGGGCCTCGCATCAATGCCGAGCAAGTTGGCCTCGCTTACAGACTTGTTCCGACTGCTCGTCCAGTGCTGTTCCCGTATGCCAGCCTGCTGCATCGCCACTAACGGCACCCCTGTACCCGGCTGTTGATAACGGTATTGATTTATTTTATTTATTTCAGGCAAGTTAAAAGCTTATAATGCCTGCCTCTGGAGACTGGTCTATACGGGTTACGAACACTGATTAGACTATATGGTGATCACTCTATTCTCTCAAATTTACAAAATAATCCGTATTGTTTTAAAAATGTCCAACATTTACTTGAAAAGAATACGAGCTGAGTTTCTTGTCAGTTCTTCTCATGAAATCATTACGAACTGACGGTAGATTTGACATATTATAAGAGTCTGTAATAGACCTACTATAATAGAATAAAAATATTTTGAAATTGAATATATTGTATACACAAGTGCCTTAGGGACTATTCATATAAAATAATTAATACAAATATGGTCTATGTGACGACAGCAATCCGAACGTAAATTACTTTACAGCATCCTATATGCTGCATATGCGTTTGCAATATCATGCAGCATTGGTATCACTAGCTTCAGTTGCCAAACAGCTTGTTTTTCTAATCTGTGTTTCAATTTGAAGGGTGTGGTAGGGAAATTACGTTGAATGGCAATTTATCAAGAGTAGATGTAATAGATATATAGTGGATAAGATATTTAGGCGATGATTCCCACTTTTTATTAGATGGGCCGTCTGCATATTTGTCATTCCAGCTACATTCAACAACTACCAGGAGCTAAAGTTCTTAATGCAATTGTGAATAATTCTTGTTAACATAACATAAGTTTCATTTGATTTAGAACCAATATATAGGTATATAAACTAATTCTAAGTTTAAGTTTATATAGTAAAAAGCAGTTCTTAACAATTTAAATATATCTCAAATTTATATTATTAGTAGAGTAAAGGAAGAAAAAAGAGCAAAATATGATCAGGAATTGTATAATTCCTTTCGATAGATTTAACCATATAACGTTATTGAACTCGATCATGCAAAACTATAGATCGAACTTGTTAAGGATAGGTCAATGACCAGAAAATCGGCACAAACTATTTTGTTTGTCATTCTTTGTAGGATTTCCCACCATTTAAATTTTACAAGTTTTTTCTTTTTAATTCCATGAGTCATTGATCTACTTATACCTTTATATATGATATTCTAGTATACCCTAGTACGCTCAACAAAGACTAATAAGTGGGAAAAGGAATTGTTAGCAATGAGGGCCAATAACCCCCTAGCTAGCTATGTACCATGTCAGGTTGACTACCACGCGGCTCCCCATGGCTATCATCGTGGTAAATTATAATTTGCCATGATGGATTAACTAACCTGACTTCATGCTCATACTTCACTGGTGCCCCGCCAGCGAAAACTGTTAGCACAGGCGGGTGCAATAAAAATAGCGAATAATAAATATTATAGTTAACGATCGTGACAAATTTATTTATCAGAGGAATGCCTTGTCTTGTCCATGTATCGTATTTATATATTGTATTGATAAGTAACTATTTTGAAACGATTTGATTTAAATGATAAATAACTGGATAAGAATGATGTAGCAGCGAAAATCCTGAATATCATATCATCTTAATACTGAATTCGAGTATGATATCCTCTTTGCTATGCATAAAGAATATCAGGCCCGTCGTCAGTTTTCCATGAACCATAGACCGTCAGTTTATATACCAACGTAATATAATCAAATCTTTCACGCAATCTATTCATGTGCAAGAATGCGTGATATATTTACCTGATAGGAATGATGTAAATTCTGCATCCGGAAGTCTGGGTCGGATCTGTATTTCCGACTGTACTTGTAGTTAGTAGTGGTTTCGTTGTCTGAACTATCGTAGCCTGACGACGTTTCTCGAACTCCTCGACTTTGCCGATGTATCCTGCACAAAAATTATGTTACAATTTAATATATATTATTATTGCATATTACATATTACAATAGTTCTTATAAATAAAAACTAATGTTGAGTTAAGCTGACTGGATAACATCTCTAACAATGGAAACTCTATACTGATAAAGTATTCTCAGTTAGCATTTTTTTATGTAATTGGAATAGTAAACAAGCTAACAACCTACCTGATGGTAGGTAAACGGTAACCATTGCCATATAAATAAAGAACACTACGGACATGACGTTATTATATGACACTCATGAAAACACTCATAGCCATTCCATAGGACGAAAAGGTTGTGCTTCTAATTCTATAATTGTAACTGCTTAATCTGTACTCTACAACAGAAACATAGTTTATAAAGCAAACTGCTTGGCTGAAATAGATGAGACCGAGGTATCCACACAGACGACTTTTTACAGTCTATCTCTAGTAAACCTCCATCCATGTGATGCCGCATACAAACCACTGAGACAATATATGTATGTAATGACGAATGAGTAATTTGACGATAAAATTAATTGTAATACAATTGATTTTACAGCTTAAAATTGATAGAAGACTTTAACTTAAACTTAAATTAATTTATATTTCTATTAAACATTACCTTGGCACTGGTTTCATTCCACTACCGATGGACGTTTTCGGTTTGGGTGTACCGGATCTCTGCGAGCCGTTATGGTTCGGTGGGAACACTCGCGGCAGACCGAACTTTAGGTACGTGTACATATTCGAACCAAGTGCGGATCTATGGAAGTAAAGTTAACATTAAAAACATAGACAATTAAATCTGTAGTTACTGATTTAGGCTGTATCAATAAATAGAAATAAATTTTATTCATATAAAATCATTTTTCAATGGTCTTTTTCTACTTCTTTTTCGCAAAACAGACTTAATATAAGAAGATCAAGCAAGTATCTTGCGTGTTGCTTTTTTAAACAAACTTTGTACAGTATTCGATTTTCAAACTAGCAAACTTGAATGTGCACATTCCACTAAATCTACCAAAGTTGTACACATACCGTGTATAAATTTTATACATCATTTACAATTTAATAATAATGATATGATAACATAAAGTATGTAATAATTATATTACTTGGGTCCATATCGAGGATGTGATAATATAGACTGCACGGTGGTGTCACGAAGCTGAAAGTTGCCATATGGAAGTGGACTCTTGTCGGTGCTACCGAGAGCGCTGTCTGTGAAGTCCGAGTTCAGATTTTGTCTGTTCAGAACACAAAACATTATTGCATTTTTAAATCCAAGATTTCAAGTACATGTTATAAATTTTTTACCTTGCCAAAGGAGGACTTATCTCTAAAAGAAATATCTTCCAGTCAACCCAAAACAGCGTGACACAGAAAGTGGAGTGTGGGTCACAGAAGTGCAAATAATATAAGTAATAAAAGATAAAATACAAACTAAAAAAAATTAAGTCAAATACATATTATTAATATAAAACATTTATTATGTAATTAGAGTGACAAATAACCTGACAGCCCACTTAATGGAAAGTGATAAGTAGCAGATAGCTTCTAGTGGATAGTTCACTCGTAGATAGCTAATGTTATAAAGAGTATCTTAGGCTACTTTTATTTTAGAAATTTTATTTATTTTAGTTCTACGCGGGAAAAGTCGGCTACCAGCTAGTGGAACATAAAAATAAAGTGATTCCAAGAAAAGACAATTCCAAACCTCTTCTCTAAGATATCCGGCTATGCTGTCAGATATCCATTTTAATTTTATACATATGAGCATACCTACTTTGTGGTTTGAATCCTTCAGACCGAGCTGACGGAAAATCAGTATTCGAAGTTTATATATTCTAAGAATTCCAAATGAATTTCAAATACTTACCTACCTATGAGCTTAACTCCATATGATGGGTTAACAACATCATAAGAACCACGATGAATCCAAATCATCACAAAATGAGACTAATACTACTCGTATTCACAAAAACTTTCAAATCCAATGAAAAATATGTCCTAACAACTTGTCAATCATGTCCTCAAAACTAACAATAACTTGTAATTATATAATTTGTGCACCTGTATATAGACCATGCGTGCAGGTCTTCAGAATGCATGCCACGAGGGTCGTGCATCAGCGGGTTGGAGGGTACAGAGTACCGGCGCTCCCCGCCGAGGCCGAGAGCTGACTGCGACATCGTGTATTCAACACCGACCTGTAAACATGCTTTAGTTGTCTAATCTGTGTTTTTGTTATTATTATTTCTCTAAATTAACATTATACGATTCGACTAATCGTATAGTGTTAATTGCCTCGATGGTCTAGCGGTGTACAGCGCTTTACTTTCGATAATCATGGGTTCGATACCTTATAATAAGCGCGGAAGTTTGTAAGATGGATGATGACTGTGGATTCGATTCCTTACAATAAACGCGCTAGATTGTAAGTTTGGATGAATGGATGTTTGTTACTCTTGTAAAAAGTCATGCAAAAACTACGGAATGGATTTGAAATAAACTTTAAAATAATATAGTTTATACCTCAGAATTACACATAGGCTATAAATCACGACGTTGCAACTGCGTACACACCTAGTCACATATAAGAGATATTAGGTACCTAATTTTAATTCTCTCTGTTCAGTTTAGTAAACGGCCGTAGAAAACGCAAGTGCACTCATGATATTCAGTGTAGAAATTGTTCAATAAAAAAATGAATTTTAAAAGATTAAAAAAAAGAGATCTTAAATTTATATATGTTACTCGACAAGTACCGTTATCGCTCAAATTTATTTGCTCTGTCATCGATGTTTCGATCACCGGAGTTACTCAGAAATATAAATTGACACAGTTTTTTGGAGTCAGATATATGACATAAAATGACATAAATTACGACGCTGAAATCAATCTAAAAATGCCTTATATCAATTGTATTATTATATATTATATTATACAAGGCAACAATTTATTATGTAGATACTTTTAAATTTATTCCAGTTAGTCGTCGTTATTACCTATGTCATCCAAGAACGATGAGCAGGCGATAAATCTTCTTTAATTTGCGCATGATGGATTAGAATTCTCGCCCCATTTTGTCTGTAACAAGAAAAATAAAAAGTAAGTTTAAGAACTAAAACCTAAAAACTAAAATTTGTGTTCTCATTTATAAAACAATATGAATTATTATTACAATTGGACAGCCTTAGCCTTCCTGTATTTTGAATAGTCATTAGTTTAATTAGTGCAATAGCATAATAGCACATTTTTCTTTATAGTACTATACCAAGTGTGTGTGTCTATCTAACACCTTTACATAAATATGTATGTATTAGGCTCCCGGTCTTATTTTACTAAGGCCCCTTGTAAAAAAAATCACAATATAAAAAGAGAGTCAGAGTATAAACAGACTGGGGCGTCTGGCCTATAACACGAATAACCCAATAATAATAACAATAATTTATGTCCTTAAAATTTATTAAACTAAGTGGATCACGTGTTAACATACTATCGACATTGAGTATATCCTATTTGACAAAAACTACCAAATCGGATGTAAATAAAGGTTGGCGCACATTGCGTCAGTGCACCGGACGCGGCCGCGACACATGGTGACAATCGCATCATCTCATTGTTGGGATTACGCAAAACAAATAGCTGTGTCACTGAGCATTTTGTATAATAAAATTGAGTTATGAACGTGTTAACTGCCAATTAAATGTGTCAGTTAATTGTATGTGAAAATGCGTCGTTAAATTGTTACCGTTTTACCCCTTAACGGCCTAACTAATAGCCTACAATCTGCTATCCTTTCATCGAACATTATATTTAAGGCCACATACATACTCTAGAAGTATTTTTTATTTCGAATCCATAATTTATTGTATTCTAATTCACTTTCCTGTATGTACGTGTTTTCTTATAGCTATGGATTCTGTCGAATTATTGCATTATTAATACAGTTGGCCGCAGCTGTACTTTACAGGTCCACCAGAAGAAATCGAGGGCGAGTGCAGAGGCTACCCCAAACCCGCGGAAGGACTAAGAAAGCGGTGGCAGGCTTACTCCTGCCTTATGGATTCGACTTTAGACCTCACCACTGGAATCTTGAACTTCGTCTCAGGGCGTCGTAATTTCATTTCACGGAATGGAACAAGAGATCGAATGACAATAATGAAAGTCCATATTGTCAGCTGTGCTGGTAATGTGATTATGTTACCGACTAATGTCTTCGTCATAAAGCAATTCGTTCTTCTCACAGCATTCATACTTATTTATGTATTAGCAAAGCATTTTCATCCTTATTAAATTCACAGCATGCAAGAGATAATGAGATAATAATTACATTTCCCCCGCGCAAGCGTTGTCACGGCACACTTGAACTAGACCTTCTGAGTTAGCGCTAAACAGTATCATTAGCAGCTTGCGTGGGACCCGTTCGTATTGTTATAAAGCATTAATTTCCGCCACCTGTTTTAGTATGTCAGTATACTCATGTAATGTCAGCAGCAGCTTGCGGGTATACCCTGGCGGATACAAGACCGCTACCGGACCGATACTTATACTTGAAGTTTTAAATCTAATATTTTGATAATTAATAATTTTGCACTCTATGGTACTTTCTTTTGTTGTTCTAAGGAAAACCAATCGATATGCTGGCTGAATCAGCATTCCAATGTGACTTGCTAGAGGTAGATCTTAAAAAGTCGCGTGCAGCGTAGCGTGCAGATTAGGAAGTGAAATTACAGAATAAGAGGTATGACAGTTCAGTCGTATCGAATGGTAACGCATGAATGGTATCACGGGTGTCAAGTGATAACGTAATAACCGTAGTGCTCTTGTATATAGACAACGGTTATGTGATAAACAACCCCATTATAATTACATACACAAAATGTGATACCTTATGTGTACCAATCTGAAGAAAATATAACGTCATTTAAAACTCGCCGTTTTTAAATGCATTCACAAGCTAGTTTTATTCATTCATTTGAGCATAGACACGCCCTGAACTTTTTAAAGCATTTGTTTTGAGTACCGCTGCGTGCATAACGGCTTTTAACTTTTTAGTAACGACTATCGTTCAAGCAGACGCAAACATTGTCTACTTCTGATTGTGTATAAAATTATTGTAATTGTATATAATATTTACCATTCAAACTAATAAACATTTTATAACTAATAAACAGTTCCGCTATTGCAAAACGATTTTTATAGTTTTAAAGTGACGAAAAAAATATTTAATTTACTTTATCGTATAGTTATTTTGACGATATGTAGATATATAGTTATTTTGACGTTTGACGACCTCGGTGGTATAGCGGTCCAGCACACCGCTTTACGTCCAATGGTCGCGGGTTCGATTCCTCGCACGGCACAAACATTTGTATTCACGAGTATGATTGTTTGTATCGGTCTGGGTATTTTCTATGTATATTATGTATGTATTTACGAAAAAAAAATCTATGTATTTGTATCAGTTATCTAGTACCCATAACACAAGCTTTAGCTAGCTTAACTTGGGACTAGATGGCGCTGTGTGAATTGTCCTGAGATTATTATTATTATTATTTATTATTTTACACTATTATATTTCTTTTTTCAGTTATACACTAAATAATATTTACAATAACAAAAAACAACAAAAAATTTCATCGGTTTGCAATTGCAGACCGCGTTCATTTTAATTATAGTTTTATTTTACCATATCTATTAAGAATATAAAAGCTTATATAAGTACCTACCCAGCTAACATAACGATTAAACAAGTGTACAAAAAAATTTAAAAAAATCGCATTTCATGCAACAGTCTGTAAGTACATGTACGTGTGTCTCATTACAATATGAATTTTATAGTTATGTTCTGTTATTTATGAAGCCACCTGAAGGCCGTCACCTCAATAGTAACTGGCTGGTCAAGTTCTGAAGATATCGCATGTAAGATAATGATGATTATCTGTGCTTAATACAGCATTTAATTATATATATTATCATTGAGCAATAAGTATGCAGCTGTTAAATTGGTTAAATAATTAGACAGCTACCTATACTTTTTCACGAAGATCAGATTATTCTTAGAAGTGATGAAAATTATAAAAAAATAAATATGAAACAATGAAAGTTGATTAAATTTTATTTATATTCAATATACATATATTGTTTCAAATATTTTTTATACCTATAATTTTCATCACAACAAAGAAAAATTTGCAGTCCGTGTTCAGGGACGGAAGATTAAAGTTTGCAATGCTGATGTTCTATGAGAAAAATAAAAAAAAAACAATAGACATCTGCCAGAACTACATAGACTTATAATATTATAAAATCAATCGATACATTTAAACGCAGAGCAAACTTATATAAATATAAAGTAATAAAAAACTTTAATAACGTGTAATTACAATAATAATACAAGCTTAATGTTATTTTTTCAAATGAATTCAAAAAAGGGTTGTCCTCAATTAATCTGGTACCATATCTTCATCTATTTTGTACACACCCACACAGCTTGTACGCCAATTCACCGAATATTTATTTAAAAAGGAAATGGTTGGCATTTGTTCATAGTTTTTGACTGACTGCAGGATGGACACAGAAAAAAAAGACGAAAAGGTTTACGCCTACATGCGTATATTTCATGGCCGAAATTAATTTTTAATATTTGATTAGTATGTATAGATTACAATTCCATGTGCCTACGTATAATATGAAGCTCGTGATATTAGTGGGCGTTGAAGCCTTTGTATGCTAATACACTTATTTCGTATTGCTCACATCAATGAGTTGTCTCTGTACTCTGCCGATTACTAGGAAATATATGTATATGTATGTCATAATGCAGCCGAGGCTTGCACTTGCAGCGTGACCAATGTCCATGTTATTTCCTCTGAGAATAAATTACCGTTAGTATTGTTATATACAGGTATATATGTATTATAGATATATATTAATATGGATGTTTATAAGGGCAGAGGAAGGCCGAAAAAGAGATGGATGGACTGTTTGAAAGATGATATTGTAAGAAAGAGAATAAATAATGTGATGACTGGGAACAGTGATGAATGGAAGAGAAAAACATGTTTCTTTCTTATTCCATTTAATTTGATATCGGCGGCAAATTATAAGGGATATGAAAGAAGCAGACAATGACACGCATATATATATGCCTGTACAATTCAATACCACCTATGCCAATGTTTTGGGTTAATTAGAAGAGATCTCTTCTAGGGATAAGTCCTCCTTTCCTCACATTGTCTCTAAATTATATTAATAATGTATTTGTACAATTAAGACTGCAAATTTTACTAATATTATAAACATAAAAGTGTGTGACTATGGATAGATAGATGAAAGGATATTTGTTCCTCTTTCACGCAAAAACTACTGAACGGATTTTGATGCAACTTTACAATAATATAGCTTCAACATTAGAATAACACACAGGCTATAAATTTCATGCGGGTGAAACCGCGAGTACAGCTAGTAGCATTATAAGTTATTTTGCTTTTATTTCCAGTTAACATACATAAGAAATAAGATATTCTGTATTGATACATATCTATAAAAATATTAATCCTAACAATCATAAAAATGTGAAAGTTAAACTATTAATTTATCGTTTCATCTCTATTTGACGTAGGTACGAAGATTTCATACGGCCACAGTGATGTATTAAAGAATTTTTATAGCAATACGGTAGTAAATATAGTAACTTAGGTGTATAAATCTGTGGTAATATTAGTGAGTATTCGTGACTAAACCTCTTAAAGCCCTCAATACAAGTACTTTATTCAACAATACATACATTTAACAAAAAAATACGAGAACAAAATGGAAATAAACTCTAAATTGCAAACACACGGTGACGTTTGTTCAGATTTAGTAGCTGTATTTTTAGTGAATATTGTAAATAACTATACAGTAAAAATACACCACTTGGTAGTTCCGAAATAAAAGATTGACTTGGACTCCCTCTAAGTACAATAACACACCCAAAACCTTTGAAAAGATCGCTCATTAAAAAACTGTTCAAAGACAAATTAAAACCTTCTTGGTTCATAGGAATAATATTTAATTTTTTTGACAGTTCCAAATATGAA